CAGAAGTACACTCTCCACAGGCTGTCCATGCTCTACAGTCATAACACTTTTTTCTGTCCGTACATCAAATACTTTCACAGTGTGATCGTATGAACCTGAAAAATACCCCAGTGAACAGTTTTAATTTAAGAACCCATAACATTTCAAGTACCAGAAAACCCCACACACTCATCTAAGATGAAATGTTCAATCTCAAACCAAACTCCATAAGAACTGCTGACCAACGGAAAAGCACTTTGCTTCACAGTTTAAATAGCCAGTATCTTACATAAGTGAATTTCCATCTTTCAGATGGTATAAGGATCTCACCTTTAGTCCTACCACGATACTGGACCTTACAAACCATGTCATTCAGATCAGTTTTCTTCCTACCCACCCTTGAATTCATAGGACTCTAGCAGCAAGAATCACAAGAACCACTAGAGCTAGAAGACAATGTTTTATACCATGTAAAAACTTGGAATGTCAGTTTTCAAGTGTAATGAAGCATTACTATAGTCCAACCAGTGGTTTGATAACCATAACTTTACGTTAGATAACTCTTATAGCACAATATAACTAACTGATAGTAGTGGTCTGTGTAAGTGTGCATGTTATTTACTCTAGAATATTATGAAAATATCAGGAAACTCAGTAGCAGCTGGTTCTAATAGCTACTTAAACTGCATTTGTTCCAGTTTTGAAACTTCAAACTTTTAGACCACACAAGCCATGTTCACTGGTGCCATCTTTTCCTAAAGTCTTAGCAAAAATTTTCAATTGCATTGATGTATTAGGTAAGTGGAATGCTTACTTACTTATTCTTAAAAAACTCAAGAAATAGTCTAGTAAGTATTTTAGCAGAATCATTAACCTTAAAGGACTAGAGTACTGTTCTACACACTATGAAACATTGTAGAAAACAAAAAGACAAAGAACTGGCATAAGAGGCAAGCCCACTGTCCTACTGTAACAACAAGAGTCATCCTGTAAAGATAAATGCTAAGATAATAAAGATTTTAAACAGAAAAATCAAGGAGAGAACACACATGAAAGGCAGGAGACTTCCAGTGCAGGGGAGGGGAAATTAGTGCCATTTAGATGTGGAACCCAGATCAAGAAGAAACTGCTTTTCTGAATTCCTTATAGGAGACCAATTCAAGACAGACGAGTATTTTACAGAACAAACCTGTTACAAAAAGATCTGTGTTCAGTTTACTTGTACAGCCACATCTCACATAATCCGTATGCTCGCTGTACGACACAATTTCTGTTGCACTTGGAATATCCCACAACTTCGAAGTATAATCGTCAGCACCAGAGAATATACGGTATTTATCAGACAGAAAGTCCACTACGTGTACTGCTCTAGAAACCAAAACGAACAATGTCCAAGATTACTACAAGTACTTCAAACTTGGAGTGCAGAGTTATTATAGGAAAATATGTCCACTTAATCTGAAGTGCTATGATAAACTGACTAACAAAATATCTGCTACTGGAAAATATAGTGCCGCAGCTTGCAAGTCAGATACTCCTTCAGCGGTTCAAAGTTTATATTAAAAGCACAGAACACAAAATGTGGGCTATACTGACTTTCTTCTTAGAATATGCATTAATACCACTCCACCCCTCAATCAAGGGCAATTACATATTCTTTTATATATAAAGGGAAGATTAAAATATGGTAGGAGTCTAGTAATTCTATACAAAAGTTGTAAGGGATTTTGGTGTGAGTGTTAGTCTGATTTTATTATTTCTTGTTAAGGAGTGCCTGGGTGTGGTTGTCAATAAAGCCGGATGCCTGTGTTTGAGTGACAGCTATCCCATCCCATTCTGTGACTGGTTGGCCCCCAGCCACAGAATGGTAATATCAGATTGTAACATCATTTAAATGTATTTACATTATAATTCTAGATGTGATATAGGAATAGTCCATATAATCTGTGTCTTATTTTGGTGCGCCGCTTTAATTAAACGATTCTTTAAATGTAATTCTATTGCGTTTTACTATGTTCTGTGTATTCTTTCTTGCTTTATTAAAAACATTGTAACCACTTATTTCTTTTAAATAAATAATTATTTTGTTTTCGAAGAATTTCTGCTTACGTGTCCATAACACCCTGGCAATTCCTTTAGGGCGGGCCACAACCTTGTTTCCCTTTTGTTAAATTAGAAATGCTAATGTATGCTAATTTTAATTGGCGCATAAAATTTAGGGTAACAAACTTATCTAGTTCTTTTTTGAACCCTGTTAATGTCTTCGCCTTCACAAAGTATTCGATGGTATTTCAATCATAAGATTTACACATGAGAAAGCTTTTATACACAATGAATAAAACCATGTGGTCTTACTTAGTGTGACCATCAAATTGTCTCAATGCTGCTCTTCCACTGATATCAAATAGCCGAACGACACCTTCTTCACTGCCAGCAACAAGCAGCTTGCCATCATCTCTATATGTAGCACAATAAGCAGCATCTTTGAAGCGAGAGAATGTTTTGATTGGCTCCTGAGAGTACCGACCATAAATATGGATCTAATAAAAAAAAATAATAATAAAAAAAAAAAATCACAAATTTTAAATTAGTACATTCTCATACAACACTAATTGAAAAACAAAATAGGACTTATTATGAAAACTTACCCTTGAAGAGGCCGTGACAGCATAATTATGTGGAGGAATTGGAGAGAAGTCAATTTTATTCACTGCACCAAATTCCTTTATTTGAACAGGAGTCTAAATGAATTGAAGTGAGATTAAAGAAATTTAATCTTTATCAAAGTTTTTTTTTAATTAGCAGTAGTCTTACAAAGACATGAAAGCTTGACATGGATACTCTACCATTGTCTAGTTTCTAAAATGAATTACAAAATCCCTTTAAAGAATTAGAACAGAAAAAATTATGGCTGTATTTAAAAAAAAAAAAAAAAAAAAAATGAGTTTTTGCCCCTCCCAAAATTTTACTTCCCTTTTTTTGCTTTAAAAAATTTTTGTTTCTAATTTTATGTTTTAAGCGTTATGTTCTTTCATTACTAGGGAATTTGCCAAAATGCAAAATATGCTCATATTGTATAAATATGTACTTTTCAAATACCCATATGTATATTATACCTAAATTGTCTGGTATACATTTTTAAAAAAAGACTTACTACAATAAACTTATTGTAATGATTGCCAGTAAGATAAATGAAGATGACCATATTTTATTAGAGTGAACTGCATATATTAGAGGAAGCAATTTGTGATTCAAGTCAGTCTGGGGTCTTGAAATATTGACTTAAACTCATTACACGAGTAAGATACATACTTGATTTTAAAAACAAACAGTCAAGTTGTCACCTCTACTGAAGCTATTTTGCTATAAAGTGCACAAAGAGATAGTCCAGTTACAACAATGGATAGGAAAGTCTTTTGTTTTTAAGTTTTGGCCATTTATACTGTTGCATAAAATCAAGACAAAAATCTTTAAGCAAAAACTACTACACAAACACTTAAATTATATTCCCATATATTAACTATGCATTCTTACCTTGTAATTCTTCCAATACAAAGTATCTTGTGTGATTTTCTCACCAAGCTTGGGAAATGACTGAACCACTACAGGTTTATAACTAGCCATTATTTCATATAGTTAGGTTCCCAAAAGCAGCAAGTGCAGCCCCTGCTGTTATGCTCTCGGTAAAGCAAGTGTGGTATTTCTTTTTTTAAATGCAAGTGCAGCTGAAAAACAAGAGTGTACAATAAATTTTAAATTTGAACCGTAAAAAAATACAAGTGAAATTCCATTATGAATGTGCTAAAATATCTTATCCAGCCTCCTGATTTTAAGTTTTGGGGGCAAGGCCAAGGATGAAGGGGACAGTGGGGAAGGTAAGGCCAGGGCATGCAGTAGGTTAATATAGCAACCTTACATCTAGAGTGTTGAAGCTGGATCAGATCACACGTGAGCTCACCTTAGCTTCCATCCAGGCTCATCACAACAGACACAGGTCACTAACGCAGCGCCCTGCTCAAGAGATAGTAGATACATTTCAGACCAAGCCTAAGGACTCACTAGTCAGCGCCTGCACAACGCAGTCCCTGTGATAACCCCCCCTTTCCACACCACCCCGGCTACTCCCCTCCCCGCTCCCAGCCACCGTGACAGCCCCTCCCCAGTCAGCACAGCAGGACTCCGGCTTGGCCAATAGTTGCGGAGTTGCCGCTGCGGAGCAGTGCGCGCAGTAGCGGCCCGCCGCCGGGTACCTGGGACAGGGGCAGCCCCGTCGCTCGGCAGCAGGCCCCACCTGGAGGACACGGGGCGGGGCAGCCCAACGCCGGTCGGGCCCGGCTCAGGCGGGCTGGCGCCGCGCTCTGCACGGGGCGGGGGTATCTAGGCACAGGGGCTCGTTACCCAGCAGCGGAGCTACAGCGCCGAGCGGAGCAGAACGAGCCAGCAGCTCACCAGCCTCAAGAGGCGGGCGGGAGAGACCGGGGCCCGGCTGCTCTCCAGGCCGAGCGGCGCGGCGCGGCTCCCTCCCGGGCCATGCGGGGGGGGCGGGGGGGCGCTGCTCTCTCCCATCGCGATCCCCACCTCCGAGCCGGATCCTCTGTCCCGACTGGATGTCACTGGGGGAACTCCGGACGAAGGAGCCCGGACCCGGTACTGCCTCAGCAGGCAGAAGTCACGTTGTGTCCCACGGCGGCTGCCATCGAGCATCACGTTGGTCCTGTCGCCAAAGAACAGCATCATCACTGCTGCGTCACGCAGCGCTGCGCGTCACCGCTCACACCCACGTCTCTGACCCGCGTGACCTCTTGAGAGGCCCAATGAGAAAAAGAAAAAGGGCACCATCGTGTCCAATCGCACCGAGCGTTATTGGTAACGTAAATGGGAACGCCCTTCCGGGACGCGCGCGCCCGTGAGGTTGGAAGACAATTCATTGTTCCGGATCCTGTAAACAGAGAGGAAGTGACGTTACCAACAACAACAACAACAACAACGTCGGTAACAATACCGAGGAGCCGCAGGTGAGAAGGTCCGACCCCAGAGACCTGTCACGGCTCGCGCCTAGAGCTCCCTCCCCACCCCCTTCTTCGCCGTGCGAGTAACGGTGACACCAGGCTCGCGGCCGAGTATTAAAGTGGCTGCGGGCGGTAGCGGGCCTAGGGTTCGCCCCAGGCAGCGTTGGGTGAGTCTCTGCCAGCGGCGTTGTCTTAATAAGGCAACAAAGGTATCCGGAAATGAAGTGCAACCAGCACTTGTCACGTGGGGCTCTTGCTAGATTAACAGCTGCTTTAGAAGCTGTGGCCCAACGAGTACAACGTCTGTTCTGGGTGTGGATCCCGCTGCCATTAGCTAGTGTCTTTGTCGCTTCGAGCCTCGGGTTTATAGGGGGTCACCGCTTAAAATGAGTGGGAAGCTGGAACTGGATAGAAAGTGGTTGCTTGCTTAGTAAGCAGGACTCCTTATAGCGATCAGATCACTCCTATACTCAGGATCTGTAGTTGGTATCTGTGAGCTTCCGGAGAGATTTTAAGGTGTTGGTTTATTTATTTATATATATATAGAGAGAGAGAGAGAGAGAGAGTCATAAATAACCTAAATCTAGCCTACCTCCATAATACACTGCTGCAGATGTAATCATTGGAGGCACTGATGCCAACTCCACCTTAGTATAATAACAAGGACCCCAGCACTCTGGACTGCCTTTCTGCCCCTGTGTGAAATAGCTTGGATTTACCATCTTTCAGTGCTTGTTTCATTTGACCTATGAAGAGAGTCAGTAACTAAAGTTCGGTCCAGTGGGGGTGTTAGTATTTAATTGCTTGGGACAAAGGATGAGCTGACTTAATTGAATTTGTTTTTATAATTTTAGATAATTGTAGGGGGTTCAATCTGGGGAGGGTGCTTTTTCATTTATTCTAAATACAATAAAAATAAAACAAACATACGATTATTAAAAATTCTTGCCATTTTAAGGTCCCTGTGCTTATGTTTACAATCTTTTTCCATCTTGTTTTCTTCCTTTTCCTTCCTACCTCATCTTTGTTCTCTCTGAAAGAATGAGTTACAGAAGACTCTGAATTTGGAGGAACTAAACATGTACTTCTGCACAGTCTAATTTACTTATAGGCATTTTTAGTACTGATGGTGACAGTTTTTGAGTAGCTCATAAACATTACACATTAGGCCTTGTAATATACCTGCAGGTTAGGGAAATATCCTTATTTTACGCAGGCACAGGAAGACTTACATGAGTGACTTCCCCAAGATTACACAGAACTGGGAATTCCCTAACCCATAAACCATTCTTCCTCCCTATAGGATCCAGCACTTGGAGTTTATCATTTTTATTTATTTATTTTGAAAAAAGGAGAAGGCTGGAGTCCTGAACTCTGTTCTGGTTTAATAATAGTCTGGATTTTGTCTACACAAATTAGAGATTTGAATTAGCTCTGAATGTATTGCAGTTCACACACATTTCTTTTAGAGCAAATTAGCTGGAAAAGGTTTTCCTAGGTACAGTGAAATGAATGGCCTCTTGTTTCACCTAACCCATAGTAACTCTGTTAAGATCTTGATTCTGCAAGGTGACATACAGTACAATAAAGGACAACAACTGTTTCTTGCTAACTTACTAATTGGACCCTGTCTATGACAATTTAGGCTTTGATGTAGGATACAGTCCTGTGAGATGTGAAGTCACCTAACTCGCATGGGTCAATGAATTATCATGCTTATTGAAATCCAAAAACTTTGTTTAACAACATTGTGTCTAGTCCTCATATCAGAAAAAAATATTTTTGATTTACATTTTTGTAAGTCAATTGAGTTATATAATAGTGTAAAACAACCATAAGTGGATCAGAATCAGGCCCAATAATTATGTTGCAGTTTCACTGTAAACCAGCAGGCTACACTCAGGATTAGTTTTTTTTCTGAGACACACAGTCATGCTTTGGGGGGGGGATAATAATACCAAATACTGAAACGGTACTTTTTTTCCTAAACAATTTTTTTTTCTGTTCAAAGAAAAATTATTTCCTTCTGTATGTAGCCTTAGGCCCAAATCCTACAGTTCTTACTGAGGCAAAGCTCTAATGAAGCCTACAAGATACGGCCCTATGAGGAGATGCTTTTCTCAAGCTGCTTTAGAGCAAAGTTTATGCACTGTGTAGAGTCAAAAAGACCAAGCTCTTCCCCTCTCCCCCACCCTCGGGTATCTTTAATACAGAAATTAACAACAGAGTTCAGGTTAAGCCTTCTCCTGAGATGTGGCTGATTCTAGGATTCCTACCTCATTAGTGCTCAGTCTTGATTCTTTTTCTCTAGTGAGTCACTTATGTCCATGTGGGAAAAAGTGAACCACCTACCTCAATGAGTCATAAATGCACCTACTGTAATCCTTTCTTCACAAGTATTCTTCACAAGGGTGAGTGTTTCAGGCAGTTACGTAGTAATAAATCAGAGTTTCAAACTACACATTTTCAGTGCTTCCTCAAACCACGTTTTCCATGCAATAGCTGGGGACAGCTAAATGATAGTCAAAGAAGCAAAATCCCTTGTTATTGACAATGTTATGTCTTATTTCTTTGCACTGAGCTGGCTGTAACCTTAGTAATTAAAAGGTCAAATCCTGAAAATCCTTATTTAGGTACAATTGTTGTTTGCTTCAATTAGAATTTTGTTTGAATAAAAACTAAATAAAATCTAATACCGATTTTGTGATTTGGTCTGAAGTTTGTATCCGTAGTAACATAATTGCAGCTACTTTAAAGGTAGTAGTAATAATGTATTTTTATTTCATTATGAAGTTGTGACATTGTTTTCAAACCTTAAGATTATTTGTGTTCAATTGTAGATTGTTCTGAAGTCCAGATCTCTTCAAAGACTGCTTGACTGGTTGGAAATTATGCTAGTAAACCACTACCAACTGGAAACCATGAAGCAACATTTTACATAGTTGAGATTGAAATCATGGCATCTTCAACAAATCTAGATGTTGGGGCACAGATAATTGTGGAAGAGTGCACCAGCAGCTATAGTCTGTCTCACATGCCAGACATTAAAGTAGAGCATCAGCTTGACTCCACCACCGAAGAAGGCCCAGCTCAGAGTGTCGCCATGGGAATGAAATTCATTTTGCCTAATAGATTTGATATGAATGTCTGTTCTCGGTTTGTGAAGTCATTGAATGAAGAAGATAGTAAAAATATTCAAGACCAGGTCAACTCTGACCTTGAAGTGGCGTCTGTCTTATTTAAAGGTTGAACTTTATGGTACAAGTTGTGTGTGGAGTATCTTCCCCTTCCCCTTTTCCCCCTTCACTTTTCAGTATTTTCTTTGCTGCTTATCCTCAAGATTATAGATCAATTCATACAGTTTCCTAACATTCTAGAGTGGTTTTAAAACTAAAAAGCAAAGTTCAGGATGATTATGCCACTGTCTTCTATTTGCAAAAGATTGCATAGGGAAATATAAGTAGTGCCCATTCCTGTATTCCTTATGCACCCAAAACTCCCATTAAAGTCTGTGAAAATTTTAGGTGCAGGAAGCAAGTTCCATTGCAAAGCATGCAAGCTGACTTGTAAAACTATCTTGCCTAACCTCTTGATGTTTTAATCATTAGCAATTTTCTATAATTTATTCCCTAACATTTCTATTACACATCCAGTTCAAAAATGGTTTAATTCGAAACTCATTTCCCGCCTGAGAGTACATACAGATACATATCTTTCAGACTTTTTTTTTTTTAAGCAACAGGACCGAAGAAAAGTCATAAATGTACTTAGACCATGAGTCTACACTGAGGCAGATGTCTATCTTTTTGGAAAAATTAAACTACTCTCACATTGAGAATATAATCTTCTTTTGATGGCTTAGTCCCTAACCCTGCAATGTGTTGCACACGTAGACTCTTGTACCCACACAGTGCCCCACTGAAAGAATTGCAAGATCGGTTGTTAGCTTTAATACACTTTTGGGGGAAGTTTAGAGAGTTTTATCTTTTCCCTAATATTTATATAAACTTTTAAGTTATTTTGTCGCTGACAGTGGCCTCTTTTGATCTTGTTTTATCAGTATGATGCTGCTAGACCTGCAGTCATTGCAATAATTGCCTTGTTGAGTCATTTTCACCTATTTTTGAAAGTGGCTAGTGATTCTGGGTCCAATTCTGTGAACTGTTCCATGTGGGCTGACCCTAACACCTGTGTGTGCAGTCCCATTGAAGTTGAGGGGAGCTCTGTGCAGGCATTGGGCTGCTCACACAGAACAGCTTGCAGAACTAGGCTTATGTCTGTTACTTTTTAAATATCTGTGCTTTTAAACTTAATTTTCACATTTCTGTACTATATCAAACAATCAGTGATCAGTCTTGTCATGGTGTTGAATCTAATCAATTTGCCATAATGAATACAAGCTTTGACTCATTACGGGTTTCCTGACTCATTTTTCCCACTCTTGTATTTGGCTGCAGTTCAGCCACCAGGTTAGGGCATTTAACTCTGTAACCACAGCTGCAGCTATTTGGCCTACAAGTAAAATGTAATTTTGCTTGAACAACATTTGCCCCAGGGTGTCACACTTTTTTAATCAGTTCTCTTCCTGAATTTGTACTCAGAAGTTCTTTACAGTATGACTCCAGAGTTACTGGACATGTTAATTAACCTCAAATAATTTAATTACTATTGCACACTAATGCCAAATCAATTCAGTCAGTAATGCAGCTTAATCCTATTTATGACTTCCTACATTTAAAGTGTTTGGGTTTGTTTTATTTCTTTAATTCTGTGGCTTCTAATCTAAGTTCTCAGAAGTAATATAGCCCCTCCTGAGAATTGGAATCCAAAGTACAATGTATATAATATATCATTTTAAATTACTATGCTCATCCTATGCTCATCTAATGGAAAGCTAGGAAAATAAGCCCTTGCAAAGTGCAGATAAAACACGGCATAGAGTGACCTTTAGGACTCTAGCTTCCCCACACTATAACAGCTAGACATCAATTAATTTGGGAAGTCTCCATTTCTCTTAGATCAATAGTCATAAGACATCATTCACAATGCAGTTGTAGTTTTGCTAAAGAAATGGTGAAACTGTACCAACAAGGAAACATAATTCATGAAGACACGTGGTAGAAAGTTTGCATTATGGTCTTTGGATGATTGTAGGCCATATTCATCCCTAGAACATCATTGATTTAGGGATGAATTTGGCCCTTTCACTTTATTACTCTGTACATGTAATTAATAGTGGAAAGAAATACATTCCATCACTCTTATTTAATGCATGTTTTAAATATTCTATAACATTAACGTATCTTAGTTTGATTTAGAATCTGTAGCTTTCCTTTTAGCATTCTTAAAGTCACTAAAATTGATTATCTTTTCCCTGTTGAATTTAGCTGAATGCAACATCCATACTTCCCCTTCTCCTGGAATTCAAGTAAGACATGTCTACACTCCATCAACAACTAAACATTTTTCGCCCATAAAACAGTCTACTACTTTAACTAACAAACATAGGGGAAATGAGGTCTCTACAACACCTCTCCTTGTAAATTGTAAGTATTCTGTGATATAGTAAATGTTGTGATTGTAAGTTAATAACTGCTTGTCAGATGTTTTGACTTTTTCATTGGGACCTTTCATAGAATAAGGCCAGAAGAGACCATTAGATCATCTAGCCTGACCTGCATAGCACAGGTTATAGAATTTCATCCATTCACTCTGTATTGAAGCCAATGAGTTACGCTTTAGCTAAGCACATCTTCAGGAAAAGTATCCAAGTCTTGAGCTGAAGACCTTACAGATGAACTTTCTGATTCTTTGTAGTCTTTAAATGAAAGTACTTGATTTTTTTTTAACCCTATTAATCTGTTATCAGTGTAGGTACAGCAAGTAGAACTTATTAATTAATCGGTAAGTGCCAACAATGTCCTGGATGTTATACAATAAATATTCAGACAGTCTCTGCTCTGTAGCAATTATAATCAAGGAGACAGAAGATGCACTGACAGAGGAAACTGTAAAATTAATGTTAAAAAAATTCTTAAACTGATAACCTAGTAGAGTTTTCACCCTACAAATGGCCACAGTTTGAAATCTTAAGCATACATCCCTCTTAAACTCAGAAGTTCAATGATAAAATTTCCCCTTTCCTATTGGGCAAGTGAATACAGAGGTATACCATACAATGGCCTTTTCTGAATGAAAGGTGTATCCTTTCTGAGAAATCAAACTAACAGTGAATAGGAATAGCACAATGGACATTTATTTAATGGATAGCCACTGGCAAACAACACAAAGTGTTATCAATTAGTATGTATAATATGGCCTTTCCCCGAGACAGAATATACCCACAGTGAGCTTGACATAGGCAGACCCCTGTGCCTGTACAAAGCACGTTTCAGGATCAAGACCTTAAATGTTTGCTTTTAGATTATTAAAGCACTCTGCTGTAATAACTGATTCCATTCCCAAGTTTTTTGGGGGGATGGGGTGGGGGAAGGGAGGTTAATGAAAATATTTTCCTCCCCAGTAGAAAAGTAGGTCATGTTGTGTATGTTTACAAAAGACTTGATCCAATGCTTATTCAATGGGAGTCATGCTATTGACTTCAACAGGCAGTCAGCTAGGTTCATACTGAACACTATGTGACCTGTCACAGCGTGTTTTGGGATATTCTAATGCAACAAAGAGTTGATAAGTGCTTGCAGCTTTCTTAAGTCCTAAGACAAGTGAGAATATTCCCTTTGTCTGACCATTATCAGCAGCAGGTCTCTATACAAATTCAGTGCTGATGAAGAAACCTGAGATAAACTTAAGAATTAAACAGAAAGAAAGGAACATTGGAGGAAACATTGGTTAATAGTTTCAAAAAGGAAAAGAACATGTCCTCAGTGTATCAGTGAAGTGGTATTTTTAATCTTTGTCCTTTAAACGTTCTTGAAGGCAATATAATCTTGATGGCAAAGTGACATTAAATTACAAGCCGGGTGGCAAGAAGCCATCTCATGGAGATATTGACAACATAATAAAGTTTGTAATTCAACATCAATGGAAAATATTTTGCCCTTCTAATATGATAGAGAGTTGGTGGAAAAATATTAAGCCATATGGAACCACTTTTAAGAAGACTGCAAACCTGATTCAGAAGTTAAGCTGAAATCAGTATGAGCACTTCCTTTTGTCATTGGCTTCAGCTGGAGCAGGACCATGCCTTATGTGCACATAATACATCTTTGTGCTCTTTTTGCAGCTCTGTCAGTTCACCAGCTGGCTGCTCAAGGGGAAATGCTTTATTTGGCCACACGTATTGAACAAGGTGAGAGTCTGAGGGGCTTTAAACCTCATCTTTTCTTTGGAGGATTTTTAACCTTGTTCCATGGGATTATATCCCCCAACATGCATCAGATGCATAGAAAATCCCCCACAGATCTGTCACAAACCCCATAAACTCATGATATCCATTCTTTATGGACATGGATTTTTTTCATATTTGTCTGTACCTTTTAAAGCTGTCTAATCTCCCATCACTGCAGTTTGGGTGTGCAAAGTAACATTAGTGTTAATGGGAATTACATGTAAATCCTTTCTGTACTGAAGCAGTGGGAAAAAACCCTATAGACTGCATATAGATAAACTGTGAAAGTGAGATATGCAAAAATCTGCAAATTAGTTCTGAGGTGATTTAACCGTAGTGTTCTTTACTGCATTTATAGTTTGAAACAAATTCCCACTAGAGTGTATTTATAGTCATAATTTTATCAGTTAACCTATACAGCATTATATTGTAGTTTCAGCCAGCTCTTCGCTGCTTATCATTCCAAATCTGAGTTATGCAATATCCTGCAGTGAAACTATTGTAATTTTATAATGGATATTATTTTCTGTAAAATAAACTGTGAAATAGCATCCACTGTACTGTACATCACTCCTGTTAAGTAATTATATTAGCATGAATATGGATGACTCATTGGCTGGCTCAACAGACTATACAAACATTTACATTAACTTCTCTGGTACGAATCTGGCCATTGTAGGCAGTCATTGAAAGTCATTACCATCTGACATCTGTTTGTTGGCCTATGGTGGTGGTATGCTTGAATATATCAAATTTGCTTTTTGTGGGCATTCATGCAAGTAAAACTGTCTCGCCTTTGTAGGAAGCAAAGGATTGGGAATCCAGAGAAAGCAAATTCATTTTTAAAAATTTGAGCATATATTTATTTAGATTTGACTAATGGTAAAAAAAAAAAAGTTACCTGTATAAGAGTTTTGGGCACCCTGACACCTAATTTATCTTACAACAATGTAAATATACTCAGCAGCATTGAAAAAACAAACATCCATGAGGAACAAATTAACTCAACTCATCCAGCCAATGAATCAGCTACAAAAACACTTAATACCCCCATTCATTTCTGGGAACACACTTAACCCTTTTCACAAAACCCCAATCAAATACATGAATTTGCCAATTCTTTATTCCAGTCCCGTAGATTTACATGTTATTTATTTGAGAGACTAGAATAGCTCACTATCTTGGAAAAGCACATTTTAGATTGCCTAATAACTATTAATATGGAAAGTTTGTTTATTTTGGGGGCATCTGCTGTGCTATCTCCAAAAATATCCTTAGCCAACATTATGGACAAATGACCTGCAGTATTTTAGTATAAAAATAAAGCTTTATTTGTGGAAATGTGAAAGTCATCAGAAGCTAGGTTTTCCTTCCCCCTCCCCCCACGCAGCATAGATAAGTGTATTTCTGTCACTGTCAGGGTTACATTTTGTATGTAAAATGTCAGGCCAGAGTGGACTTTATGGTAGAATTATAAACGCAGCTGTTCATAACAGAAATGTTGATACAACCTTTACTCTAACACCACTTGCAGTACAGCAGCAAAAATGATCATTGAACTGTATTTTTCTTTTAAACAGAAAATGTAATCAACCATAAAGATGAAGAAGGTTTTACCCCTCTGATGTGGGCCGCAGCACATGGGCAGATAGCAGTGGTAGAGTTTCTGCTTCAGAATGTAAGGCGAAAATATAGTTCTTCTCAAAATCCTTAGTTCATTTTATATTGATAAGTTTGCAGATGCTACTACATCTCTAAAAGTAGTAACATTAATTGCCCCATAAAGGGGAAATAAAAGGCAAATGTGGTGGGGGCACACTCCGCTTTGGATCTCTGCCTTATGTCAGTGCATAATGTCATTGGTATCCTGAGCTCCAGCACTTCCTGCAAGTATCTTTCTCTCACCAGCTCTTCTGTGGCTCAGCCCTCCAGCCAAGTCACATAAAGCTTAAATCCCCGTTCGGGTAACTGAAAGGTCCAAATGAAAATCCAAACAAATCTGAATAAAGTTCTTGCTCCATTCAGCTTCTGAAGTCTTCTACTTACAAATCCTGTCTCAGGGCCACTCCCACAGGAGCCTACTCTACTCTCTATGGGTCTCTTTGGGACTACCCCCCACTCCATCCCTGTGGGTTTCTGTCTGTAGTAGAGTTCTGCTTCCTCTGTAGTCTCTCTTTAGAGCTGCAGCTGGGGTCTATCACTCTAACTCTAGTGCACCCAGCTGGGATCACTAATTGCCCTTTCATGGGCAGCTTGCCTTAAAGGGCCCTCCAGCCTGTGACAGTAAGGTTTTTAAATAGGACTGTTAACACCTTTTCTTTTCTTTTTTTTTCCCTTCAGGGTGCAGATGCTCAGATTTTGGGGAAAGGGCGAGAAAGTGCACTGTCATTGGCCTGTAGTAAGGGATACACAGATATTGTCAAAATGCTGCTTGATTGTGGAGTTGATGTAAATGAGTATGACTGGGTAAGTCTATCACTGGAGTGTACATTATCTTAGTGTGCATTGGTCAGAAATTTGCTCCTAACTCTAGAACTGACATGGATTTGAAAACCATATTAAGTTTTCAGAAATGTAAGCTTGGAAAACCTAGGACATGGTGTACTAATGTATTGTCCCTGAGAGGACTTTTTTGTACAGGACCAAGAGAGTTTTTTCAGGTCTCCGTGGCCAATTGTAGTCTCTTGGTGGGATGAATAGGGGAGTGTCTTCTAAGCCGAAATAGGAGGGCTAGATGAGATTGTTCCTGGGCTCACTTGATGGCTGTGAATCAGGGACCTTGAGTGTTTGTCCTCACACCCCAGGACTTACTATGGACCTTCTGGGGAGGTGAAATGTTTGTTTTTCCCCAGACTAGTGGGGTGTTCCCTACCCAGGTCTTCTTGCCACAGAAGAACTTTGCTATAGCAGTACTTATTATAGAAGAGTTCCTTATGCAGAAATCTACAGAGGATTACCTATGATATTATCAGCACGGGGTAGGGCTATTCCCTGAAGCCAGGAAAAAAATATCTCTGGGACGAGGGCAAAATCTGAGGTAACCTTTAAAATGCAATTGCTTTTAGAAGACAGAAACCGGCCTTTGACTCTTGTGAATTTTGCATTTCAAAGGAGATGTCATTGATTAAACTGCACTGTCAGAAACATAAAGGCAAAAAAGCCTGTATCATAACATAGCAGAGAAAAGGTCTAAGTTAAAAAAGTATTCACTTACTCAGTTTTCCCTTTTTTAACATAAATGTCAAGTTAATCAATTTTTATGGTGTGATGAATGTTACTGTTGAATTATTTACATTTCACCATAAGGATTCCTTTAGAACACTGGCAGCAGTAAAAAATATAAATAAGAGAGATGAGAATGTATTTCAGGTTAATAGTCACATTTGAAAAGGTTTCAGTTTTCAGACTTTGAATTTATAGACAGTTTTCTAAAGTGGCTGGAATTTTTGTACGTGATGAGTGCTTCAGAAGATTTTATACAAGTTAAATATTTTCCATATTAATGCAGTAAAAATGTCTGTTGCCACTTTATTATTTATATTGCATCAACAGTGTGCTCAGTACTAAGCAATAGCAGTAAAAACAGTGACCCAGAATTGAGGTGTGGTTTGTTTAATTTGTGCCACTCTGGAGTCTGGGCATGGAACTGGCATAACCAGCCCTGGAGTGATCACCCCTTGTGTAGGAGTTGATCTGCTAATTCCTGCTCTTTGGGCTGTTGGCAGCTGCTATAATTTAGAACAGCCTTCATGAAAACACAATTTGGGCCAGTTTCTGCCTTGAAGAGTCTACAAACTTCAGGTTCTGCAGTCTGACCCACAGAAACAGATTTGCCCATGCAGAGCTCCTTTTACTTCACTAGGACTCCTCACAGGGACAGGGGTCTGCAGACACAACCCACTTCCAAGATTGTGGCCTAAAAATAGACCCATAGAAGATGAGGGACACAGAAAACCATAGTTGGAGAAGAGCTGGTGACCTTTTCATTGCACATTATGACCACTGTTATCTGAAGGACTCACATATGTGTATTACTTATTATCAGGAGGGAATTACAGATACAGTCTGTTCAGTTTTTGAACTAGATACATGAACTCCAGCTATTAAAGACTGTAAGTCTTTTTTCTTCTTTTGCAGAATGGAGGGACACCTCTTCTATATGCAGTACATGGAAATCATGTGAAATGTGTAAAAATTCTCTTAGGTGAGCACATTAAGGACAACATTAAGAAATCAAACCTAAAATAATTTTATTACTGATAATGATAAACTACTAATTACCAGCATAATTTAGGGATTTTTTCCTTCTATTTTACTAGAAAATGGTGCTGATCCAACTATTGAGACAGATTCTGGCTATAATTCCATGGATTTGGCTGTGGCTTTAGGCCATCGGAGCGGTGAGTATGTAGAGCCCTTTAGGTTTGGCTATTTTTATTGCAGTTTGTTTATGTAGTTACAGTAACAGTGCTTTACACGTGTAAGAAGACAAAAGTCCCTGTCCCAAAATGGTTAGGCTAAATCTGTTAGGCTGTTGTTTGTAATTGATTATGGGCTAATTAAACATCTTAATTATGTAAATGTTAATTGACTAAACTCACGTTGTTTTATTTGCTTGACTTGTGCTTTCAAAATCCATTAAAATGTTAGCTCTAGCAGTATGTGCTGTATACATCTTACAATATGTAATTTAGAGGACAGACCTGATTTGTTCAAGGAACTGGTAACAGGTACAGAGTCTTTCACCTCTAGTTCGTGAGCCCAGGTCAATAGTGAAAGAAAGTCACTGTTCTTGAGCCATGTTTTTAGGCACAGTTGGGAGTGTATCTAATTTACAAACTCCTTTGTCTATGTGGAGACAACTGTACCAGAGGAGGGATTTATTCTAGGAGAGGGCACTACTACCCCCTCCACCCCGAAGGGTTTGGCCATAGGAAGACAGCATTAAACTGTGTGTTGGGATACACAGGAGCCCTGTCTGCTGAGGCTGCCCTCTCTCTCCTGGCAGCCTTTCAGCCTGGGTCCAGCTTTCTCTGAGAGGGGGACATTGTTGTTTGTTTTTTTGAGCACTTGGGCCAGGCCTCTGCTGTCATGTACATTAAATAGTCACAGTTTTCTTGGACTTACCTCTGTGAACTATTTGAAATTGTTTGTTTTTTCATCTAAAACCACAAACATTTCCTGGGGGGAGAGGACATTTCTTCCGGGGTCCTGCATGATAGGCTGGCAAGTTTGGCTATCCATTTTCAGGGCCTCCTTGGGTTGTACAGAGTCAAAAAGGGGCCTCTTCAGTGGTGACCCTGGCTTCTGGACCATGTGAAAGCTTTGTTTTTTTTAAACCCTGAACTGAATAAAAAATGATAAGCCCACCCAGTCATGTAACTGCTGCAAGCCCCTGGGCTTATGTTGGAATTGATAACTTCATGGATGGCTCAGATGTGGAACCCATAGGGGGTTCAGTGTGTAAATTCTGAACACCGAGGAAAATCACTACAAAGTTTTCAACAGTGACTATGATTTTACCCCCTAGTACTCACTCACTCTCCACTTCTAGGTCAGAATCCCCCCATGCCCTACCTTAACCTACCCCATCTACATTTCCAAACCAGGCCACAGACCATGGCTTCCTCCCATTCTCACTCAACATGCTGGCCCTCTGTTAGTGTATTAATTGTTTTGCATTATATGATGCTTTAATTTTCATAGGTGATACAAATCCGTAGTGCATTAGTTCATGTCCTGTTTATTTTGATTCATCTAATCAAAATAAACAAGTCAGCATCTAGCAGTAAAATACAAGAACAGTAGTGACTTGGAAATCATTGAACAGTAATTAACTAGGTTGTTTCTCCACTTTAGTTCAACAGGTTATTGAGGCTCATTTATTGCAGCTCCTTCAAAACATCAAGGAGTAATGGCCTGCTGTTCATAAAAAATTGTTCCAGGCCTGAAGATTTGGACTGTGTTTTAGCCCCACAATCAGTGATAAAGGCTTGTTAACTTATTTAACTTTACCTCAGTGAAAATATTTGCTGGTTTTAGTAAGACTTTAGTACACTTTCTTTATGTATTTCACTGATGTTCATAGAAATCTGTGATAATTGATCCTTTTGTAAATGTATTTTATGTAAATTTTAAAAAAATGTAATCAATGTGTGTTGCATGAAAACCTTGAATAAAAATATAATTATAGCTGCGTAAATGTTCACATTAAGTACAGTAGTTGACTTTCTACAGAGTATTCCACTAGGTTGTGTCAATGATATGGTATCCACATAGACTTCGTTTTAGATTTTTAGGTGTGTACCACAGAAGACAAGTTTCTTTATTGTTTATAGGACAAAAAAAAGTGCACAATGTGTGGTTGTTTACAAATTCTTATGCAGTTGAATTAAAATACTTTGTCAATTTCTGTATTTGTCTGATTAAACTGTTTTTTGAGGGGGTGGGAAAAAGCAATTCGGCATTGTGAGCTCAATTCTGCTCAGTAGTTTGTTTCTGATTTAGGTCCTTAAAACCTTTTGGGGCAGATTCTCTGCTCTGCTTCTTTTTTGCCAATCAGGTGGTGCAGAGACAGCATCCCCTTAGCTGGGATTCCCCTGGTATGGGGGAGTCCCCAGCAGTCTTAGACCCGGCATATCTGGCTCCTAAACCACCCTCTTCAGAGTGCCTGGCATAGTGGATGTCTGTGAGCGGGAGGGGAGGGGAGGGAGGGAGAGTGCCTAGAGTGCACTGTACCCCAGCTATTTTCAGCTGAGATCGTCCCTTGAGGATCTCCTTGCCAGCTGATGCAGGTTTAGAGCAGTCATTAGGCCAATTTAACCTGCACTGGGGAAAGGCAGAGAATCAGGAAGTGGTAACTGGCTCCCTAGTAGGCTCCCCTCTGCTTTGCCAAGTCTAAATTCAAAAAGGCAAAGAATGTGATTCTTTATCTTTGCACAAACAACAAATCAACTTTTGAAACAGAATGTTGGAGAGTTTTGGATTCTTAGCACTGTTTTCCCACTACATGTACCTTACACTGTGCTGGTTAAGAATTATCCTCAAAAATATAAGAGGATGAAATTAGCACCATGTAAAATGTATACACTGAGCCTCAGACAAAGGGCTTGGGAAGGCCCATAGACCCCCAGACTAGTCCTTGGGTCAGAGCCAGAGATATAATAAAATACAAAATACTGGTTTCATCATTTCAAAGTGAATGAAACAACCAGGGGGCAAATTTAAATAGCTACATGAATTTAGCTTGAATTTGGGCCAAATTCTCCCCTAACTTACACTGTACCTTCACTGAGGTTGTACCAGATGTAAGTCAGGGCAGAATTTAGACTTTGAATTTTGGTTGCTAGGAAAGCCAGTTAAACATCTGTGACAGTGAGATCTCTTTCGGAGAGTCAGAACTTTAGAGTGAACCGTAAAGAAGGAGCTTTAAACAGAAGAATGTCATTGATCTTGCATGGTTTGGTAAAATCCTAGCTAACGCTGACTGAGCATTATTATTATGTGTACCACTTCATCTTTCAACATCTTTAACTGCCCTTTTTCTTATGTGGGTGAGGTCACCCACCTTCTCTCTCTAATATCCTGGGACCAACACGGCTACATCTACACTACATACTTTTTCTTATGTAGCATTTATATCTCTTGCATCCCATCACGGCTCTAGTTAAATTATATATATTCATCAAGTAAAAAGAACAACAAATCTGAGGTCAGGGGGAAAGGTAAAAATGTTCTATTATAATTTTAGAACTATATTAGCAAGTTTTTAAATCTATTGCTTGTAATGTGAGTAAACTCTAATAATAATAATAATAAAAAAAAGCTGGAAGGAGATGGTAATTATTGTAGAGTTGCAATATTGGAAATATTTAGATGTAAAGGCCTTTGTGGGGAAGTTAACTGATGTTTAAAGTTGTTTTTAATTGTTTTCAGATCTGTTGATACATTGTATCATATACTGCAAACCATTTTTTTCTTGAAATTAATGGTTTTATGATCTGTCAAATACTTCATTTCAAATATATTTCATATATATATGGCATATAAATATGTATGAAGAACAAAAATATCCTTTTTCCTGTGGATTTATATAATAGAAAGGGGGTCATTTAAAGTATAAGCATTCAATAGCTGTTTCACATTTTGTTTTAACCTTCAGTTGGTACTGAATAAATTGAATTGATATAAATTAATTTATTGCTGTCCAATAGTTTTAAAATGTGATTTCACCTAACTTGGATTTTCAGATTGGGTGGATGAAAGATAGAATAAATGGAAAGAAACAAAGTAGGAAAAACTAATTGTCTTCACCTTTTTGCTGTAGACTTTCAAACCATTTTGTGGGCTCTACAGTGATGTGTCATACAAATGCCTATGAATAAAGTTGAAAATGTTCATCTTTAGAAAGTTACCTATTTTCTGAAGTCAGGAGCACTTTCTGTAGCTTGACCTTTTGCTGTTAGAGCAATGCAACTGGAATTGAAGTTCACTCAGTAGCCATTGTGATGGCACTATAGGGAATAGATAACAGTGTTTCATGAACTATGATTCTAGCATCCTGGGGGAGGCTCAGTCAAGAGCAGGAGAACTGGGAAGGGAGAGTTTAAGTGCGGGGGGGGGGGGGACTCTTCTACCTTTATTGTTCTGTTTTCATTTGAGTCAAAAGAAGTGCAGACATCTGTTACTGTTCTGTATTCAACAGGGTGGCCCTAGTCCACATGTAAGTGCACTTTTTTTTTTATTATTATTGGTGTAAACACTACTGAGTATAAAAATACAACAGTGGTACAAAATACAAAAGGGTTTGTTTTGTACCTTAAAGAAGGAAAATTGGAACAAGCTGAGAAACCCTGATACAGTTGCTCACATTCCAAAAGTTAGGCCACCACACTTGATTTGATAGAATAAATGACTTCTTTAGCCTTCATATTCTGGGTCATATGGTTTTGATGGTACTACTGGTTACCTGTGAGCCAAATCCTGGGTTTGAATATAGACGTATCTTATGATTGGGCCATAGGACTGGGAAATGAGAAGGTTCTTAATTTTGATTGCAGCTCTTACGCCGACTCCCTCTGTGACTTTGGCCAAGTCTCTTGATCTCTCTTCTTCAGTCTCTCCCTACGGGAAATCAGAATAATGCTTCCCTACCTACCTCACAAGGATGCTGAAGTGCTCTGAAAATGAAGGATTTCTTTCTTCTTTCCAGTGTAAATCAGCAAAAACTCCAGTGAAATTAATGGAATACGGCTGGTGTGAGAGAGTAGCAAATCAAGCTCAAAACATACTGTGAAGTGCTGCAAATTAGTAGTCAGCCAGGAATTTTTTCACAAAATGTTTTTGTTGGAAAATGCCTAGTCATCAAAACTGAAACCTTTCATGGGAAAAGGTTGGCGTTGATGAATTTCCCATTTCAAAACATTTTGGACTTTCTTTTTAAATTGTCAGTGTCCCATTTTGGCATTTTTGAAAGAAAAAGTTCAATTTTTGGTTGAAAACAACCTGTTTTGTTTCATTATTTAATTTATTATAATTAAGAAAAAAAATACAAAATTTTAAAAGGTAAAAATCTAAAGGAAATGTAGAAATTATTGAAGCAAAATGTTTTGACTGACCCATTCCAAAAAACTTTTTGGATTTTTGGTGTGCAAAAATTTAAGTTTTTAACATTCCATCCTGATGTAAGAGAAGGTTTTGTTTTATATCTCAGATTCTCATGGCACAAGAAAACAGTTTCCCTGCACAGTTCTACCAAGTGTTATATTCAGTGTTGCCACTCTGCATTTGAGTTAGTCAAAAATGTTTTTTCACAGAAAATTTGATTTTTTTTGCAGAAGAAATTAAAAAAAAACAAAATATTTCTATTTGAAAATACTGCCATGCTGTATCACAGGAATTGTAGTTCAGGAGCCTTATGCTCCAAGTCTCCTCTACATGCTGAGCTCCCTGGTTAGACTGTTCCCCATGGTACACCACAGTCTCACATATTGAGAAGGAAAGTGGTGCATATTGGGAGTCTCTGACCCTGGTGTATCATGGGACACAGTCTGGCTGGGGTGTCCAGGCTATAGAGGAGAACAGTTGCCTCATATCCCCAAACTATAACTCCCATGAGGCCCTGGAGCTGCATTTCCAAGTTGAAATATTTTGATTTTCAGATAAAATATTTCCATTTTGGGGCATTTGTTTTTCTGACAAAAAGATCAAAATTTTCCTTGGAAAGTAGACAATTTGCAAAAAAATGTTTAGTCAAAAACCCACTTTTCTGATAAGTTTCAACAGAAAATTTTTGACCAGCCCTACTCTGCATACCATGGGCCTGTTACCACCAGAGCAGCTCTTCCATCCTAGATTTATTGCAGTCTGCCTCACAAAGGACAGACTGCTTGTTACGGTTTTATGTGGTGCAGTATCGAATACATTTCCAGAGTGGTGTAAAGCCTTTCTCCGGTTCATTCATGTTTCCAAGTTGCAGTGTATTGTGATCTACTTTGTGGAGGGCACATAATAAATTAATTAGAACTAAAATTACATGACTGCAATACATTGACAGCTGCTACTTTGTTAGTGACAGGCTGAGATCACTTGGCAGCAGAAGACAGCCTTGAGTGATCTTAAAGACAGGCTAATGAAAGCCAAAGAAAAAAGTGAAGCTCTGTTCATGTAATCCAGCAGTACAAGTTACATCAACTAAAAATTGAAAATTAACACTTCTGCTTTCCATGTCATTTCAAGAGTTAATGATCTAGATGGGGAACTGTTATTTGGCTTGTGGTCATGATTAGAGAAAGGGGCAGCAGTGATGAAAAGATAAAGAATAACCGCAAATAAAACACTTTAAATAGTTACACTATAAAAAAGGTCTGTTCATTTAATAGTCCTCATAAGAGAATATAAATAGATACACAATTTACACAGCAAGAGATTACAATCCTGTGAAGAGAGTTTTATACAAAAGATGAAACTTAAGAACTTGTTTTTCCAAAATCCATACGCATCTCCCTGTGGTAGCTTGTAATGATTAGCAGGCCCGAAGAAACCATGCAGTCTTTTAGCATATGTGAATTACAGCCAGTGCTCCATCCAGTCCAGTGTCTGCCTCTGACCGGAGCCAGTAACAGATGCTTCAGAAGGAGATGCAAGAATCCCTATAATGGCTAATGGGAGTATGTGGGGTGGGGGAGGGATCTGTTCATTAGGGAAATTTCTTCTCAACCACAAGTAATGGGAATAACTATTATTTAGTGTCCAAAGTGTGCTAGGCACTTTATAAAACTGCTAGGCAGTATATATAACCCTGCTGCTTCTCCTCGGCTATGGGGCCCTGCACTCTTGGCTCCACTCTGTTGCCCTCTCGGTCCATCAGCCTCCCAGTCTGAATTCCTTACTTGTGCTTATGAGACAGGTACA